TCAACGCCATAACTTGGAGGACAAATGCGTTTTCATATTAACCTGACATGGTTCGATGGCCTGATTCGCCGCTGGGTTGCCACGTCTCGGACAGAGCCGTTCTGAACGCCGGAGGCCAGAAGGTACAGCAGCTGCCAGTTTGTGCTCAGCTGTTGAATCAAGTCGACCGGAAGGTTTGGAACGTGCTCCGGCATAGGCTTGAATACCACAAGGTCCCTCTCCCAGACCTCCTAGGCGCAGGTCTTGCCGATGGGTCCAGAAAAAAATTCGATCCCGTGGTCGTGCCGTCCAAGCTCGCAGCAAGATGGAGCAGGTTCACCTCGTTGCGGTGCAACTGGTGGATGAAACAGTGCACTGGTGACTCGATGACCAGCTCAAACAGTCGGAACCGCCTATCGTCTCGGTGTTGACGGCCGTGCCATCGCAGAGCCGAGCACATTGATAGTGGCCGTCACACTGCGGGCATCATGGAAGTGTAGCTCATTGAAGAAAGTGCAAGGGGCGCCGGCCGAATTCGAACGTAAAGTTGAGTCACGTGGCGCTGCTGCCTGGCCCAGCTGATAACCAGCAGGTGTTTTTCAAATGGGGCATTCGCACGGCTCCGTGGGGACTCATTACCCCTGCCTCCCGAGAGGGCCCCGTCGAAGTAGAGAATGGTCCAAACCTGATGAATGGCTTGTTCCAACAATTTGTGACACGAGCCGTTCTTTGTCTCGCTCTCCCTCTCTCTCATCTCTTTCTCATCCTCTCATCATCTCACTCACAAATCACTCACTCCCTCACTCACATCACTCACTCACTCACTCACTCACTCTCTCTCTCCTCACCTCTCTCCCTCTCTCTCTCTCCCCCTCTCTCTCTCTCTCTCTCTCTCTCTCTCTTGCGCAGCAGGTCTTCTTAGCATCTATGATATTGGATTTCAAGTAGCCAGTCCGTCTCTGCTGTCTTGTTGAAAGGCGTTGATGATAGCAACAGCGGCCCTGTTCGAGTCACCGTAGCTGTCATCCGCCAGAGCGGTGCTAGTCAGATCGTTAACGTTACAATCTACAGTGACAGCGGTCTCAACCGGCACTAACACCTCACCTCAAAGAATACCGATAGTCATAAGTGAGCATGATTCATCATCCCTGGTGATTGCTTTACCATTTTCAGATGTGAAACATTTTCTTTGAAGGGGATATTTCCCTTTGTATGCTATCATTTCCTTTCCTATCTGCGTTATCTGCCCTCTGCCTTTGAAGGCGATATTCTGCATTTGAAGATCTGAAGCAGGAATGATGTATAATAAAAACGTTTAATTATAGTCATTGATGCACATTTAGCTCCTGCATGGCTCAGCCTGAGCC